GAAACTCTTTTAACTCTGTCTTGTGTTACAGTTTTGTTCTATAAAGTACCTAGAACACTTGGCACTAAGTAAATACAAGGCGGTAGTCATAGCAAAAATAGTAACCAGGAACTGGTTGAGGCAGAATGGAGAAGAAACAGGTGGGGAGAGTGTCAGGAATAAAGTATTAGTGGTGACCACAAACAGAGGAACCCGACACATTAGGTTCCTACTCTGTTCCCGATAGAGTCACTGACAGATGGGATATTTATAGATACAGATACAGTGTGTATATACAGTAGTGCCTCGCAAGACGAAAATAATCCGTTCCGCGAGTCTCTTCGTCTAGCGGTTTTTTCGTCTTGCGAAGCAACCCTATTAGCTCTATTAGCGGTTTAGCGGCTATTAAAGGCTTAGCGGCTTAGTGGCTAAAAGGCTATTAGCGGCTTAGAAAAAGGGGGGGAGCGGGGGAAAATCGCAACACTCGCAAGACGTTTTCATCTTGCGAAGATAGCCCATAGGGAAATTCGTCTTGCGAAGCAGCTCAAAAACAGAAAACCCTTTCGTCTAGCGGGTTTTCCGTCTTGCGAGGCATTCGTCTTGCGGGGCACCACTGTATGCCCTTCATTTCTTTTAACTTGCTTTGGAATCATGGAAAATGAGAAAATAGCTCTTATGTCGCCACACCAACTTCCATATTTAGAGAAAACATATTCTTCTAAGAGCAATGTTAAAATTATAGGCCTAGCTCTGGAGAACCAGAACAGCTTCTTGGGATTTCAAGTGCTGCAGGCACTTTTAAATTAGAACTTTGCTTATTCTATTTTGTACCTTGAGAGAGCTTTCTTCAGGGAAACAAGTCACTGTATTATTTAAAAGTAGGGATTTCCCCAATTTTCATACAGAAATTTGCATTCTGAAGCAGTACCTTTACCAAGCAAATAATTAATTTATTCCTCCAAAATGTATCCTATGTCTTCACTGCTTCTTTTACCATCTTTGGCAACGCCATTTTTACAATTCTTTCCCCATCTTTGGCAATGTCATTTTTACAACCTAATGGCGCATAGCAAACAGTGTGGCATGTCATGCCTGGGTGGCATGGCCGGAAGAAGGAATGAAACACCACAAGGAGGGAGTTCCTGTTTCAAATCTTGCCTGTGCCATAGACTCACTTCATGGCCTTTAGAGTTCATGCATTCTTTCTTTCTCTGCCTTAAGAATAATATGGGTATAATAATACTGGCTTCTATTATTTGATGAGCTTTGACAACTTGAAAGTGTTGTGTAAATGCTGATAATCCCTATTTTTCTAGTTGGGTTTGGTTGACCAAAGTAAACCAAATAACTGAAGGTGGATTTGTCTTGACGTTCTACATGTATTTGCTTGTCCTATAGATGTTGCTGCTGTGTCTAATATTTTTTTATTGTTGCATTTATATCCCACTTTCAAGGAGCTCAGGGTGGCATACCTATGAGGTATGCTAGGCTGAGAGACTATGACTGGCCCAAGGTGACCCAGTGAGTTTCATGGGTGAGCAGAGATTTGAGCCTTGTTCTCCCACGTCCTGGTACAACACTCACTACACCACACTGGCTCTTCAGAAGGAAGCTAGCTCATTGCTTCTGTCCTGTCACTGATAGACCTCTCCCAATTGTCTTGTAAGAACAGTTGTAAGAACTGACCTTTATTTGTATTTTTAACAACAGCAACAATATTTTTTTCTAACAACTGAGCCTAAAGTGGGTAAGAGGAATTTAAAACAAGCAGCATCAAGAAACTAGTACAATAACATTGGGTTGGAGATTACTAAAAAAAAAAAAAAAGGAGGAAAACAAAGTAAATGGGAATGTGGAAGCATTGCAATACCCACAGTTTGATCTGGTAAACCAGGCTACACTGTAATCTGGATAACAGCCAGCTGTGCAGATGGCTGCTGGTGTAAGTACCGTCTCCAAATCCTTCAATCTTCTGTCTCCAGAAAAAGATATGACAAAGCTGAAACCATGAACTCGTAGAGAAGTGCAAAGATGACAGTTTCCAGGACGAATCTTAATTCTGTAACAAGGTATTGCTCTTTATTCCAGTTGTCTCCCTTGTTACCCAGAAAGTAGGAGGAACATGTTTACCTGACCCACTTTATTAACTTTGCTTGTGTTTAAGCAGCCAGTAAAAGAGGAGCTTTTGTCTCTCTCTTAAAAAAAGAAAGAAAAAGCCAATCCATAATTATATTTTCAGGGGAACTATGTTCATATTTCCATTGTGTTCACTAACACCTGATACACATTTTTTAAAAAAAAAAAAGCGGCTGAAATAAAATAATTTCAAGTATTTAACTCCTTTGTATTGAAAAGTACCTAATGAGGTAGTCATCTCATATATAGCAATAACATTAGCATTGCCAGATAAATCAATCAATAGTATAAGCTCCGTTAGTTTTTCCCTTCTCCATTTTATGATGCCTGTGCTTATGTGTATCTGAGGGAGAAAGCATAATAACTGTCATTTGCATAATGAGTTAAGAATCTAATCTTCTAGTTGCCCTGACCTAAGTTGTTGCCTATTCCTATGTTCTAATGGTGTTTTGCCCCAAAATTTGAACAATAGTTGAATACTAAGTCCCTAGGATTTGGTTACCATTCAATAACTGGTTAGATATTGCCAATTAAATAAATACAAGTTATTATCTTACCACATCTGGAGACGTTTTACCTGCTTCTTCACGGTGTGCGAAAGGTCAGCAACATGACCTTTATGTGTTATACATTTGATGTTAGCCGCTCTGAGCCCGTTTTTGGCCAGGGAGGGCAGGGTATAAATAAAAATTATTATTATTATTAACATAGACGATTGTGGCTGGCTTTCTGTCATTCTATGGTGATTGTTGTTTCACCCCTTGTTGCTGACCTGCTCTGCTGTGGAGTGAAACCCATCCCTCTATGCAGTTCTGTAGTGTTGTATTTCTTCCTGGTTCTTCGTTTAGGGAAGTACTTGCAGTCTTAAAAGCTTTTTCATATTGGTTATGGTACTTCAAAGAGTAGATCCTTAGATACAATGGCTGGTTTTTTAAAAAAAGATGCTGTTCCTTTTACTTTTGTGAAGTCATCTATTGCGACATGCAGTTGTTTAGATTACCCATGTGTGTTTTGCACTCAGCACAGTCAAATTTTTAAAAATTGGTGCATGCTCATGAATGCAGGCATGCAGTTCCAAAAGGAAATGAGGTCTATCACTAGCAGGCTAATGTAGCCCCACATCATCTCCATATTCTGTATGGATAAATATTGATCATATTTTGTTCAATAATTGAAAAATTATGTTGGTATGTTTTTGTAAGGTGTGAATGTGTATGCATTACAAAGCTTTAATGTATTACGCCTGGATACAGCTCCAGCTGAAAGTCTCTGCAATGTAATTGAAGCAAAATTAACCTGTATTTGTAGGAAACTAAAATTGTTTGTAAGCCATCTTTAGAGAGCCATGCCCTGAAAGATAGTGTATAAATACGATGAATGAATGTATATATTTTTAAATCAAGATCAATACACACCTTACCCAGCCCTCTTGCCACACAACATAGTGAGAACTGTTATGGCCTTCGGACTGCGGCTCCTTGCCAAAAAAAAACCCCCATCCCTCAAACATAAGAAATTTTAGTGAAAATTAAATACCTCATGGAGATTACATATATTTACACTTTTCTAAAGGAGTAAATACTTGAAATGTAATATCTGAAAATCATGAAGAAATATGGGAAAGGCAAGCTGTTAATTGAAAACCATGAAAGACTCTAACTTGAGAATACCTTCCCCACTCAATTCAGCTGCTGTGATTTGCTAATACTGGATGTTCTGTTTACCAAGTAGTCCATGTTGGGAAGTCTCCCATTTTAACACACAGTAGAAAGCAAGGTAGAAAAAGAATGGAACCTGTTGATCAAGCAGAACCATAGTAGAAAGCCTTACTACTTGAGCCGGCTTTTGGTCTTATACGCATCTGGTAGGTCACTGTGACAACAGAGTGCTGGATGATATTGGCCACAGGGCTGATCCAGCAGGCTCTTCTTAAGTTCTTAGATGTTATAATTATTGTTGCTTCTTAAATTGCTGTCCTGCACTTCTTCCCAAAGGTGTCTAGGTGCAACGGATAACTAAGCAGTCAAACAGTACAATTAAAATTGAAATGTAAAATAAACATTCAAAAACAATCACATACCCTCACAGTTAATAATTTCAAGGTTGCCAAGAACGGTTCTTTCAGCTATGAAATGCCTGATTAAATGGGAATGTATTAATAATGACAGTCAAACCTCACCAGGGAAAACAATTCACAAATGGGGAAATGCCCCGGAGAAGATCCTGTTGCATGACAGCACCAAACTGGGCAGTTGGTAATCTCTGTTGGGGCAACTGACGTTCTTGTATTATTTGACAGTAATTGTGTGTCCTTGCTTGCACTCTGTGCTTTGCAATATAACCATAACCACCTTTCAGAACCTTTGCCCTGTAATTGCAGCATTTGTGGTGCCTGTTTACTTTAATTTCAAATGAAATTTGTAATTGAGCCTGTTTCTCTGGCTTCCAGGAGAAAAGCCAAGAAAAACTGTTGAGTCGCATAAATATGGGTCAGATAACATTAATATTCACATAATATTGTTAGCTGCAAATAAACAGTTTTGCATAATTATTCTATAATAATTAACTTTTGTGATTACAGTAAATTTATCTCTGTTCTCTTAATTCTGCTGTTTCACAAAATTTGACCTGTCAGATTATTTATCAGATTGCTAATCCTTACCCCCTTTCCACCCTAAATCTTTGGAGCTTCATAAAACTAAGAGACAGTTGTTGTTAAATCTGGGGGAAGACACACTGACATATTTTGAGATATGTGATTATTTAAAGTGTAGCAGGTCAATGGGAAAAAGCCTACCAGGTAGCCATGAGCTTGTATGTATTTAGTCTCTGCAGATTATCAGTTTGAAATTTAAAATACTGATTCAGGTTTATTTTTCTTGCAGTAGTTGCATATTGGGCTGTAGAAGTTGACTTTCCATTATACTGAGATCAAAAGTAAGTTGGAAAAGTTTTAGAGCACTCTGAACATGCTCTTATGATATCTGTCTCTGGATTTAGTTATCGATTATAATAACATTACTTCTAAAAAGGATCCCTTTGTTGTATTCTTTGTGAAGGCTACTTCACCCTGAATGCCAGGAATTTGTTTATTGTGAAGTGTTGCTGCCTGTGGTCCAAGATTGGCTTCAAATCTCACCTTGACCAGAGAACTTAATTAAATTTTAATTTGATTTATTAGATTTATACACCACACTTCATCATAAGATCTCAGGGCAGTTCACAGAATAAAATACAGGATAAAAACAAGTGCTGGGATTTGTTCAAATGTGACAGTGTAGTGGAAGAATAGAATGAGCAATTGACTCTGCTTTTCATTGCCAATACTCACGTTTCGTAAGTTCCCAGGGCCCCCAACTATTGCCTTACAGAGGGGACATGTGCACATTACTTTCTTTTCTGTTTGGGAATGAGCCAACATGCAGTGAAAAGTAAACAAGAGTCACTTGTACATTCTTCCTTCTTGTCCCATGTTGTAACTTGCAGACAATCCTTAAAATCAGTTAGGTTGTGCTACACGCAGGAAATTTTACATTATATTACTATATATTATTTCAATTTATATCACACCATGTGTGTGTGTTACACTCAATGTGATATTAACAGTAAGATGAAAAAAGAACAGTTGATTAAACCAGTCAAAAACACTAAACATTGACCACCTTAAAAATAAGTAAACATGACCTGTATATTTTCTTAAAAACCAAGGCCCATTTAAAAGTACCGGTAATTTCCTAACTGAAAGCAAGATAGATTTACTCTTTAGGTCTGCTGTCAGAAATTCTGCCTGAGGCTCAGAAGGCAAAGAATACAGATAATCAAAAATTAATGTCAGAACTGCATAATAAGAATCATTTATATATTGGTGATCATACATATCTGTTTAAATATGGCAAGTTTCAGCCTACAATTGGTGCTGTTGTGCTTAAGCAACATTCTTCTTCCATTGACCATGTGTCTTGGACCTCTAAATTCATCTAAGGTTTTCCTTCAGCAAACAATACTGTAAAAATTGGAATGTGATGGCCACTCAATCAGGAAGACTTTAGAAGAGGGTTAGGCAAATTCATGGAGCATGAAGCTGTCAGTGGCTACTAGCCATGATGGCTGTGTTCTACCTCCACTGTCAAAGGCAGTACGTCTGAATACCAGTTTCTGGGAAGCACAGGTGGGGATAAAGCTATTGCACTCAGTCCTTCTTTCATGCTTCACATAGGCATCTCTGTGGGCGCTTTTAAGAATAGGATCCTGGACTAGATGGACCATTGGCCTGATCCAGCAGGCTGTCCTTGTGTAAATTTCAAGTGAGTCCCCTCACTTAGCTGAATGTTTGTTAAACAAGAGCGCTGGTTCTGCTTATCCCTAATACAGTCGTACCTTGGAAGTTGAATATAGTTCCCGAATGTTTAGGCTCCCAAATGTCGCAAACCCGAAGTGACTGTTCCGGTTTGGAAACTGTTTTTGGAAGCTGAACGTCCGACGGGGCTTCCGCACCCTCTGATAGGCTGCAGGAGCTTCCTTCAGTCAATCAGAAGCCGCAGAAGTTTTGGAAGTCGAATGGACTTCTGGAACGGATTCTGTTCGACTTCCAAGGTATGACTGCATTTGAATAAAAGTTATTTTGTTACAAAAATTTTAACATCTCTAGGAGATTCTCATATCTACCCATAGTCAAGTCAGGCTTGCACCTTTGCTTTAATCATGCCATCCATGTTTGCTTGTTTGTTTTTATCTCATCCTCCCAACTCACAACTTTAGAATGTTACACTTTAAGTACTTGTACTTTAGGTTGTACTTTCACATTCTGAAAGGGTGCAGGCTGTGCATCAGTTTTGATAAGAGGATTTAAATTGGACAGCAGATTAAACATGTTTCTAGTAATCAGATGATGTTGCATGGAAGAGTATTTTCTAAGAATGTTGTCTATGATACCCAATCATCTTTTTAATGTAACTGGTGGTGTATTATATTTATAAGTAGCATATAACCCCCACCTCATATCATAAATATAACTATAGGAACAGTGGTTTCAGACACACTTTTGCATATATAGTGCTAGCAAAAATCCCCATCATTTTAAAGATAAAATATGTGTGGAGGAAGGCATTTATGTTGCAAGCATTCTAGCATTTAGACAAAAGATAAAATTTTAAAATAATAACATGACCCTTAACATTAATAATGATAACGATAAACTCCTTTGTATAACAGTGCCAGATTCAGCACTAGTATCTCATAGGAATGAATGGCAGTCTGTCACTCTTATAGGAGAAAGAAAAGGTTTTGCACTCAGAGGCACCATTGGAGTTGGAGCAAAACTTGCACCTCACCATTGGTTACTCCAGTCATTAGGAATCAAGTTGCCTCTTCCTGCTTTTTGATCCTTTGGCTTGGCCTTGATGTGAGTGATAGAATGTTGGGAGAGTGTTGACTGAAGGATTGTTTGAAATTAATTTATAGGTAAGTGGGACCTTCAACCACATAATTGCATTTTAGAATACCTGTTCAGGGTTGCAGTCAGCTATTCCTTCACCCTGCTCTTCCCTTCCTTCTGATTTTTTTTTTGATTTATTATGCTCATTGTGTGGCTACTGACTGTGTTCAGTCCTCATCAGGCTGTTCTTTAAACGTTTAGGCCCTTTAGGTTTTGTGCTGTCTTGAAAATATGAGGAAGATGAGAATACTCGCCCATTTCAACTTGCAAGCACTTTGATTCATGTCATCCTGACCTCATTTAGGCAGAAAGTGATTATTAGTTGATTATGTAGTTTGCTTTAAGCACCCTTGGGATAAAATGAATCTGGGGTTTTGTGCACCAGCAATAAAGAACTTGTGCAGAAAGTGAATCTTGTATTTCACTGTTGGGGCAGTAGAGTAAGATTCCCCCCCCCCTTCCAACAAGCTTTGATAGAATTGGGGAGACCAATGAGTTTGGCAGGGCAAGGCTGAAGGATACACTTATATTGGGGTACTTGCTGCCTGGGCCAGAAAGGACAACAGAGATGCTATGACAGCTGTCTCCTGCCATATGAGACACTGTGAGCCAGTTCCAATAGGACTTCAGTACTGCTCTTAGTACAGGGCACGAGGAGTGTGATGCTTATAGCAGCTGCTTCTCTTGGACTTAAAGAACCAGAGGAGCTAGCAGCAACAAATAAGAAGGATCTGATAATTGTGTTTGCCACAGTAGTATATTACATTCGGTCGGGACCACATGTTCAGTGTGGTTGCCTCACAAATGACTCCTAAATAGTGGAACTTCATCACTTCCAGCTACCCCCAAAGTGGCAGGATTTCTGAGACAGACTCTCCTCTAAAGAGATGAGGATAGTGATAGGTGTTAAAATGTAGGTTTCACCTTAACTGGATTTGAATGAGTAGTTAAGCTCAGACAAGAGATTAATAAGGCTTAGCAATGACACTGCTACCAGAAGACAGGCAGTTCAGGCCTGTGTTCATGTGGAAATTGTACCAGTAGCTTCTGAAATTCACAGGACTGGGGAGGTTTACAGGCTCTGTGTCTTGTAAGTATGTTTTGGGCAGTTTTTGAGAATGTATTGTTAATACTTGGGAAATCAGAATAGTAACTAAAAAGTAGTAGTTCTTCAGATCTAAGCAGAATTTCATATAAAGTGAATGTCAGCAAAGTAGAATATTTTCTTAATTCCATGGCTAGGGTTTGTTGGGTTTCATAGATGAATTGCCTCACTAGCAGCCAGCCTCAGAAGTGATTCTTTCAAAGTTTGCAATCTCTGATCTTACAACTTCACAGTTGTGATATCAATACAGCATTTGACTGTAGAATATGTTTTAAGTACTGCTAAGACCAGGGTTTGCTTGTTCAGGGTTGTTGTTTTTTATGTAGCTTTCTGTTCAAGTGAGGCTATTGGAAAAGTCAGGTATATTTGCCCTAACTCTTTCCCCCACGTACAGCACAGGGAAAAGGGATGTCACCTAAGTACAGAAGGTGGCAATTTTAAACAGCAGAGGGTCCATGAAGAACTAACTTTGAAGATTATGTTCCTGACTGTGGGGTGGTGGTGGGGAAATCAGTGGGTTGACTAGCTGGGGAGAGGAATGTAAGGCTGTGGTAGGCAGATGATGAGGCAGAAATAACATGAGATATACTTCGTTGGAGAAGAAGTAGCAGGAGCAGAGGTTGTGGGTACACTGACTCAATCCTATGCATTGGATTCCAAGGTTGTTTTGGAATTTTATTTAATTTTTTTTTAAAAAAAAATTAAAGTCTTGTGGTGCTGCTGTGTAAAGGGGATTTCGGCCCATAACATCACTAGTGTGTTTGTAGCTACCTCAAAATAATTATTGTTCTTCACCCCCCACCCAATCATTTAATATTTATTTAATGTATAGATTGCCCTTCATCCAAAGATCTCAGGACAGTTAACAACACAAAAATACAGGATAAAAGCACAAAATAAATAGTTACCATGTTGTGTGTGATGCGTTTGAATCACAGTTTGCTGCTATATCATACCCACTTCTGGCACAAAATCTCTTACCCCACATGGCTCTGACACAGTTTATATTTTTGTGAGAGACTACAGTGCACTCCACTTAAGTGCCCTTTGTCAGAAGCAGATATTATTTAATTCGATAATAAATCAAAATTTCATAGTTTTCACTTTTTTGCAACCCCCTTAAAGGAGGGTAGAACATAAACTAATTTTCAGATACCCTGATTCCCAGTTCCTGTACTTTAATGGAAGTGAAATTATATAATTAACTATTCCTGCCACACACAAAGGTAGATCACAAACTCTTACTATGTAATGTAAACCGCTTAGCGATTTTGCATATTAAACTGTATATAAATATTATTGATGGTGATTATAGGGCAAAACCATGCAAGCCTTTTTTTTATACTTTCTTTAGATGCTGAACTGAGATATCTTACTTAATCAAGATTTTTTAAATTGTTGTTTTAATAACAAATGCCACTTCCGATGAAAAATTTGAATATTAGAATTGGCTCTGTGAACTTAAATTTCTTCTATTTATTTGTGAAACAGCAAGACGGCAGTGATTAAAAGTGATTAAAACTTTTAGTAGTAAGTTGTATTGAGAGAGGCAAATGCGTGCGTTCCACAATTCCATGAGGGTGCAGAAGGCTTGCAGAATATGTTGGATGCAGAAATTGGCTTCCAATGGATTCCAGATTTCACCTTTTTTTTCCATTAGAAAAAAGCAGGTATCTTGACCTTGTAGTTGCAAATATGTTTATAAACAACCTTCCCCAAGCTGGCAACTTCCTAGCTGCTTTGGACTACCAATTTCCATTGGCCCTAGCCATCATGGCCAGCGGCTCAGGTGACAAAAATTGTAGTATAGAACATCTGCAGGGGGATCAGGTTGGGGAAGACTAGTTGGTATCTGCTTGTCTTGGGAGACAATGGAAGAGTGTTGAAGGCTGATCTAGAAAATGTATGAAGCAAGTCTTTTGAAATTTCAAACCAGAGGGATTGATGAACATTTCAAGTAGAAAGTGGTAGAGCTTCCATGTCATGCATCATTCCTTGTCCCTCCCCATGAATATGAAAACCAGAATAACCAATGCACATTATGAGAAACATGCAGATTGGCATGATTTACATACTCTGTAGCGCTGAGCTTTACTTAGCATAGAATTTGGATTACCTTGGATCCACGTGTGTTTAGGTTTAATGCGGAGTGCATACTCTACCCTAGCTATGACCTAAAGTTACATAAACAGTCTTTAAGTAACGTAGATGAAGGCTGCACTTATTTGGGCCTACTTCTGAATAAACATGCATATGACTGCACTTTGTAAGGATACTTATGTTAAGCTAATTATTTAATGTGCTCGGTTGGTGTTTGCTTTTATTTATGTCTATTTTATGTATATTAGCTTAATTGTAAAGAACATAGTTACTTAAAATATTTTTCTTTTTAATAAAGGTTCAATTAACTTCACATTGTTTTTACTTTTCTCCCAGATTTTTGAGCATCTGAGAGGTGTTATAGAAGCACACCTTTAGTACGGGAAGATGAGTGAACTTGACCAGTTACGCCAGGAGGCGGAGCAACTGAAAAACCAAATCAGAGTAAGTATTATAGACTAAAGGTCTTGCCTTTCTCACCTGTTCTGGATGTTTGGGTGCGTTTGTTCTCTCTCAAATTAATCTGTGTGGTAGGGGGGATTTTAAAACAACTTACTTGTTTTATTTAAAAGAGCTGCTATTTTAAAATAAAGAGCTTTTCTTTTATATAAAAAGATTTCTAGGCCACATCTCAGCTGAAGCTTCCCAGGTGATTAACAAAACAAATAAATGTATAATAAAGAAATTTAAGCAACATTAAGAACAAATATAACCACAAAACACATAAAGATGACACTTAAAAACTGCTCTTTATGGTGGTACATTTTCAGTGCCTCTCATGTTGCCATTTGGCATTAACTACTTATGCTGACCCATCTCAAAGTGCTACTTTATGGCATAAATTTCCAAACTTGTTTCCTTCCAGTGAAGGAAAAAAGCATGTGGCATGCGCAGTGATTTATAGTCTTGAGACTTATAGCCTAATACCATTCATTTCAGAGGTTAGTATAATCTGGCTTCTTTCTGTGTAAAAGAAGAGGACTACACAGAAACCCTCCAGACAACAGCAGCCTTATAAAAAAAAGAAGCAACTAGCCAATTCTTCAGCTCCAGGTTTCTACTAACTCATTTGTAAGATTCATCCTTTACACTGTCCACTTTCTTCATCTTCAGTTTCCCTTTATGGTTTCTAGGTAAGAATCATGCAGGGGCAGTAGGAGCCGCAGCTGGCAGAAGTTCCCTGCCAGGGTTGAAACTCCCCTTAGCAAACCTGTGCCATCTTGGCTTCCTTCTTTCTCCGATACAGAAGCTGGACTACACACTTCTTTCCCTAAGCAACTGAACATTTCAGGCCATCACATTAACTCAGCAAATCAGTGTCAAAATAACTTAGCCACCACATACAAAAATAATGGTGTTGCACAGTTGCTTGAACCATTCTGTTTCAAAATGCACGGAAATCTGATTTGGGGAATATGACATGTTTATTCCAGAAAACAAACTTTTGCTTGTTCCTACTTGGCATTTCTTTCTGAGGAAAGCAACTATGAGACTGAGCTGTATGCTACAAAACCCCAGTCTCATTTCTCATCTCTGTCATCAGTTTAGGCAAGCTGCTGTCAACACAGTTTCTAGTCATTTATTGTGATATACTGACTGATCTTAGTATGGTGTAACATATGTGGAAGCACATATGTGCTATATAATTGATATCTCTTGCTTCTCTGTGGACAAATAACTGCATCATGTTGGAAAAGTTCTTAAGTAGTAGAAGGCAGAGATTGAATTTCATTTTCCTTTTTCCTGCAAACCCTTTATTTTACTTATTCCAAGGTGATAATTTTCATATGCTGTGCTCTGAAGGGGGGGGCAATATTAACTTCAATTCTGGCATTCAAAAGGCCTTAATCGTTTTTTACTGTTGCCTTTTCTAAAGACAATTTTGATGATCTCATTCAGTATCCCTTATGCACCTTTTGAGATTCTACTGTTTCTCTCTCTCTCTCTCTGCATGGCTTTGTGAGGGCTTGGCCTTGAAAAGTGACTAATAAATAACTTATTTATTTTTAAGAGTTATTTATTAGTCATTTTTCATGGCCAAACCCTCACAAAGCCCTCCAGAAGTTTGAAAAAAGCATTACTTTCAGTCAAGGCACATCAAGCTTCTTTACATGGAAAAAAACATTCTTTCCTTCTGGTTGAAAGCTTACACAAATAATAAAAGTAGATCATTCAGTTGACCTGGCATAAAAGTTTTAGGTCACGTATACCTGAGCTTTTGTTGGATGCATAGTATGTGCGGTTTTGCTTAAAACTGAGGCAATCTCATTTTAGGTTGAGAGAGAGTTTATGTATATGTCAATAACCAGTAGAGCTACACTGAATACACTATTAAACACAGAATTAAAACAATGTATGCATAATTTTGTACAGGTATATTGTGAAACAAGACTTTTGACAGCCACAATAGTGTAAATAACAAACAACTTCTGATGAAACACACTTTGTGTAAACAAAAGTAGTCAGGAGTTTTACAAAACTGGATTTAAGCTCTTGCAACTGACTGGTGAACAAGAAATCAAGAGAAGCATAATTAGCCTTATTTTGACCCCTCCACTGGCATCCCTCCAAAAGGGAGATGGCACCATAGACTTCCCAGACATGCTCTTCATGTGCATTTGTCTATGTGTGCATTAAAGGTGGGGTTACACACTGAATGCTGAGTTCATTGTGCTTACTTTTATACTCTACTTTCTCCTAAAGGTGCAGTTATATGTAGTTCAGTTCTCGGTCGAGTGATTAAGAGCAGAACACTGCTTACCTGTTTGGGAAATCCTATTATGAGTTGTGCTGTGTCTGTGTGCCTTGGAGGTTAACTCGAGCAGATTACCAAAGCACTGAAATAGCTTCCTACCAGTAATATATATGGGCAGGGATCTATTATGCTGCACATAGATGTATACTTAGTTCCATGATTTGCAATGAGAAGTAGTTGGATAATTGAGGCAGACTAGGTTTAAATGTACTTCTTGCCTAATTTGGAACAGTTTTCAATAGAAGTAATAGTAGAGGAGCAGGAGAAGTTCTGTTTTGTTCTGGGCAGTGTGATGTATGGATGGGTGTCTTAAAAGTATCCAAGATTTTGAAAATGGACTTCCCATATATGAATGCAGCACCCCATTGCATAACATTGGCAACAAATTGCTCATCATTAGAATCCTTTGAGTACATTTATTACAGTTTTTTTTATGTTGATTGCAAGCTGCATTTTTAGGCGGTTGCTTTTTTTAAAAAAGCTCCTCAAACCCTTAATGAAGATGCTCATTAGGACTGTTTTCTTAACAAACTATCAGCTAGACCTTGAGTATTTTCTCAGAAGCAGCCTGCATAATCATTGGGCTGGGTTCACCTAATGTGGCCTGTCAGTGGAACCTCTGACTTTCCCTCCCCTGCCCCATACTTCCGAAATTGGCTGGAGGGTGGGTGGGAGAAACTCTGAAACCGTGGAGAAGGGAAGGGGAGATTGTTCCATCTGGCAAGCTGAAAAAGCTTTTGCAAATGGAACATTTGTGATAGCGTGACATGGAATTCCACCCATTGTATCATCCCTCCCCCACATCCTTCCTAAACTAAATAAAATAGCTTAATGTTAAATATATCAGTATAAAAGACTGTTGTGGGACAACTCACAAATTATCTAGCCACTGTATACATAACTAGTTAAAGAAATTAATATCCATGTCTTTCTGCCTTCATTAATTCTAAATTTCTTTAAACAAAAATGAAAGGTTTTGGCTTCAGCAAGGAGACTTTCTGTATCTTGCTTTCCTGTGTGGCTCTCTTGTTTAAAATAAGAACAAATACACTGCACAGCAAGAGGTGTATTGAGAAGCTACAGTACAGCAGACATTTCTGAGGCTCTTCCCCACTCTTTTTATTATTATTGAGAAGAGCTATTTAACCTAACTGTTGACACACATTATAGTGAACTCCTATGCAAACCCCACTGAACTTAGGAATTTGTGAAAGGGCATACTTGCCGGTTCACTGGAAACCTGCTGTAGATTGTGTTCATTATCTCTGTGCAGTCTTGCTAGTCAATTACACTTCCTAACCGGTAGTCTCTTCCTCTGCTCCCAGCTGTTTATGTCACATGTGTCCCTACACAACCCAGTTTGAATCTGAGCACTTGATAATTTCCTGTGTCACACACAACATGAGAGTGGCATTAAAACCTGGAGGCTTTCTATATTTTACTCCTCTCCACCAGGCTGCAGCAGAGGGAGAGATGGGGTTGGGGGAACGCTTCACTGCCATGGCTGTGAGATCAGTAGAACTAAAGCCACTTCTATTCCTTTCTCTCAACCGTTTCCATTCTAAGTAACTTGAAATTAGTGCCTGGCTTCACTTATTTATTTTTCTCTTCTGTGTTGTCTATTAGATTGTAAGCCTGCAGGCTGGGACTGTCTTGTATTTAATATTTGTGCTGTGCTTTGTAAATTTCAAGTGCTTTTAAAATAATTATGATGAAAAAACATGTGTTAAAACAAATCTTCCTACTTGGCATTTACATGGCTGCAGTGAGAGTGGGAAAGAAAAGTAAGATTCAAAGCAGCTGATTTTGAGGGGCCTTGGGGGAAAGCACCCTACCTTGGCCCCCTGATCCTCCTGTCTGTAATAAATAAATAAAAATGAAGTTTCTTCTATTTCACATGATTTTTGTAAGGATATATGCGGTGAGAATTCTCAGGTGTATTTCACAATAGTACTTCTAGTTCATTTATTTGAAAATAGTTTTATGGTGACTGGCTGCAGTATCGCTGTAAGATAGGATTGGAGGATCTACAGCCAGTTAAGCCATGCATGATTTTTAGGGGGGGGTGTGGCTCTATCAGAATGGCTCCCTACACTGCCACCCCTGGAAAATCCCTCTTCTGGTGTGCCCCATTAGGCTTAGGAAAACAGGTCCCATTCCTGAATTGCTGCCTTTTTTCTAAGCCATTTGCTGGAGAAAGGGAGATAAGGGAAGGAATAAAAAAGAGATAAGAGGAAGGGAGGTTTAAATGACTGTGTGAGTGGGGATTGAATGGGTTAATGGAGGGGGTGGGATGGACAAGCTCACCACCAGCATGCAACCCCCAGAGATTTACCCACAAGGATAATTAAGGCTCAGGCTGAAACAGGTTCTCAACCCCTGTTGTAAAGCATCTCAACTTCGTTACTGATGTATTGATGGATACATCACTTGCTGCCTGATCCTTTAGTCAGTTAAGAGGTACTACTAGTTTTAAATCTCTGTTAGCTGCTTTAAAATCAGTGATGGAGTTCTCCAGTGGCTGTAATTGGCTACTTACAGCAGCCAGATGCTATTTTGAAGGCTGGTTTTTTAAATTTAAAAAAAAACACACACACACACACACACTTTGTACAAATGTGAGCAGCACAGCTTTATGTACTCAGCTGGTTTGGGTCTGTGCCCAGAGGAAGGGGTTTCAAATTTTTTTTTTTTTAAAAAAAATCCTACTTAGCTTTATGAGATCTTAGTGTTTATTTTGTCACCCTAATTTTACTTCCGCAGTTTGATAGAGAGTGAGAGAGAGATGTACATCCAAATTTACTATAATTATTTTCTAAATTACTTGTGGATTATAAGATCCTCCTTTGAGACGCATGTACTGGGTCATCCCAGTTTCTTCATTTTTCAGCACCTTGTGAAATCTATTCATATAACTAGATGGTCGCTTAGGAGCAAGTCATACCAATGAACATGTTCCATTTTTCTGACACTCTCTTAATTTTCCCTTTTTTCAGGATGCTAGGAAAGCATGTGCTGATGCTACGTTGGCCCAGGTAGGTGGATGCTCAGTGAACATGTAATCAAAAGTATCTGGGTGTTATCAAACTTTTTTTTACAAAACAAACAACCCAAAAATTGCTTATATGAAGGACAAAGCTGAGGTATTTCAACTTGGTTTAATAGGAATGTTTTCTTTGAAAGGTTGCTGTATGATCACCATTTCAGTTTTCTTGGCAGCAGATGCTATGCTTACCACAGAAAGCTTCCTTAAATCATCCTCATTTATCGCTGTCACCTGTCTGATTTATATGTAATGCTCTCAATTTTATAACTACATCACATTCTCAGTCTCATTCCCTTTGTGCTTTCTCCTGGATGACTTAAAACATGGCTGAGGCTTACATTAGTGCAAGCTTTAACCCTGATTATTGCTAACCTGGGTATGCACAGGATTGAAGCTTGTTTCAAAACTGATTTGACTGTAAACACTGGTTAGCAATCATATGGAAGATTCATGCCGGGGAGGGTGGTTGGAGTCCTGCAGCCTCCCCTTTTTAATCTGCGGTCCTTAAGGAGTTGCATCCAGTTCACAGATGCTGTCCCAAAATGCCTGTTGCATGTGATGATGGACCAACAACTATTGCCTTGAAGTGCTTCTTCTATTTAGCATCAGAGGGTGTGTAAAGCAGAAGACATCCAGAAAGGTAGTTGTGTTGGTCCGTTGCAACAAAAGCAACAAAGAGCCTTGCAGCACCTTAATAAGAAGGTTCACCTTCTTGCTTATGCTGGGCTTTGTCCTTTAGATTGCTTGGCCATCTGTTGCCTTTCCCAGCATTAAGTTTGTTAGTCTTCAGATTTTTGAACAAGAGGTCAAAAAATCAAAGTACATTAGACCTCTTGCAGCCAGTGGGGCAAGCTACCCAACACATAAAAAGGAGCCAACAACAACTAATGTTCCCAATTTGAATTCGGCTTCCTATTGCTTGTCCTGCTGAAGCTTTTTGGCCAGAATCTGAAGTTAAATGACATGATTATTATGATCATTCAAATTAACCTTAAGGTCCCAGGGTGGATTACAACAATTAAAACATAACTTTATTATTAAACCACATTTGCACAATGTTAAAAACAACTTTTAAAATACAGAAATTAGATGGGACCTAAAAATAATGGTGTGTGAGTAGAGGAAGGAGATGCCCGTTATTTGCTTCCACTGCTAATGTTGACCCAAAGTGATGTGGACTGCAAAACATTCTTTTTAGCACAATTTATGGGGAATCATTCATGTTTGACAGTTGCCCAAAAATGCTGAATGAACAGTCTTTTTACTTATGCTGTAACGTAGACTATGGGGACAGGGAGGGAGCTTCTAAGAATCTGACATACAGCAGAGGAAGGCAATTATGAAGGAATTCTAAATCCGGAAAGCGGCCTGTACCCTACTAAGCTGCCTTGACAGATTTCAAGAGGAAGCAGGAATTCTTTGCCTGTGTCCTTTGGCTAAATAATTGTGTTACATGGAGACAGAACAAATATGCAGACATTTTTTTTAAGTGGGCTGTGCTACAAACTTTTCTGGCTTCACTGCAGTATGCTACAGAGAAGCCTTAAATTTAATTGGCCACAGTACAGGGAAATGTGTTGAAGGCATTTATCTCCCTTTTACTAGTGTTTTCCTAGAAGATACGATTATTTTAGACAACAAAGAATACTCTAAAAGATTATTTTAGACAAAACCTGTAGCAGGGTTTTTAAAACCCTTATGGCAGTCTTTCCCAACATGGTGCTCTCCAGCTGTTTTGGACTACAGCTATCATCACCCACAGGCATCATGGGCAAATGTCAGGAATGATTGTGAGCTCAAGGGCACCAGATTGGGGAAGGCTGTCTTATGGCATGAAGTCAGAGGTCACTTCCATCAAGATGCATGAAATGATAGCCTCCATTGCTAGGTAGGAGTGTGAATGTATGGCTAATATACAAAACCAAAATAATATGGTTCCAGAAAAAGGGATGATGAAAGAACACCCACAATGCCTGTCATTTCTGGGGATGTTTAAATATCTGCCCTTGACAAAAGCTGAGGGAAAAACATTCAGTCGAGCTAACATAAAGGCGCTGTGTTGGACTGGAATTATTAATTTTGAAATACTTTATAAGTGACCCTGTTATCTGTTGTATTTAAACCATAGAAGTTGGAGCAAATTTTATTTACAGCTGACTTAATGTTTTGTTTTTCAATGTCCCTTAATCTGGTTTGAATATTACAATAAATATATTGCTCACTTGAATTATACAAGAGTTCTAAGTCAGTACCAATAGATCTGATTTTGCTATGCAAGAGTTGGACCATCTGGATTTATAGCAGTCCTTAAGTAAGTCAGAAAGCAGACAGTGAAAAATGAAGCAGTGGAAATGCCATGTGAGTACTTTCCTGCTTAAAAAAAAAGAAAAAGAAAAAAAGAACCCTGCAAGTTGTCTTTCAGTTCTGTGATAATTCTGAGGTGGGGAATCTGTGCCTTTCCCTATGTTGCTGGCTCCCAGTTTCCATCAGCCCTGTCCGGTATAACCAATAATCAGGTGATGGGATGTTGTCCAGCAACATCTGGATGTTCCCAGGTTGCCCACCTCTGATAAATTATGCTTATACTAGAAGTTTGAAATGAGAAGCTTGTTTGGGAAGAAGCAGTAGTAAGCACCTTTCAGAGCATCTAGTAAGGTGTTTTGGTCAAGTTCTTTGGTGCAACAGGGAAAGAAATTCAAGAAGAGAGAGTAGTTTCATTTAATGCTTCTTCGGTCAGGAAATGCTTTTGCAGCTGACAATTATAAATCTGTACAATTAACCTCCCATTTAGATCACAGCCAACATTGATCCAGTGGGTCGTATTCAGATGCGCACTAGAAGAACACTGCGGGGACACTTGGCTAAAATTTATGCAATGCACTGGGGCACTGATTCCAGGTGAGTTCCTGCGCTGCAGAAGGACCATCTTGAGTTGGTCACAACCTCTCAGCCTAATGATTGTGAGGATAAGATGGGGGGACGAGGGACGATGTACGCTACTTTGAGCCCCTTGGAGGAAAGGTGGGATAAAAATGTATAAAAAAATGACTGGGCCTTGCTTGAAGGAATTCAAGAAGCAGACTGTAGACAGGCGGAGGGAGAGGAAATAAACTAGTGGCAGAAGGGTGAAATGAGGAAGGCAAAGATAACAAGGGATAACTAAGTCCAGAGATTGCAGTTGCAACAGCAACGTGTGTGTGTGTGTGTGTGTGTGTGTGTGTGTGTGTGTGTCTGACTGCCAGTTTCTACTTTACAACAGCCCTGGCAGAACTAAAATATAACCGTGGCATTTTTGGGATTCCCACTTGAAGATGTCACTTTTACCCCCAAAATGTGTTTTCTTTTACCCAAGACATAGATGTACATTTTACACAGCTGTACAAGGGATAGATGTACATTTTACATAGGCAAGGTTCTGAAGGGCCATATGTTTGCCTAGCAGGAGAGATTTCCCGCTAGCACCACCACTTAGTCTTGTGTTTAAAAGTACAGGCAGTTACTTCATAGGGAATTTCATAATTCTATTGCCCTACTCTAGTACCAAAGGAATTGAGCAACACTGAAAACTAATAACATTTGTTCATCTATGCCGGCAGCAAAACTGAAATCCATTTTCATATGTTGGTTTCTCCTTGCGTGGAAGAAATACAGATAGAAAATGCCTTATGGCTGCTCTAAAATTATTTTAAAATAATATTTCTGAAGCTCTCACACTTCTAAATATTCAGAGATCCAAAGCTGGCAGTCAGCAGGGTGAATATGCTGTTGTCATGGATTGCCAGAGAACAATCAATGTTCTCATAATTTTTTTAAAAATTAAATATTTGTATATAGTGGATTTGTCTGCTCATAGTTAATAGTGATTAAATCAGCAGAAGCTGATGGGGGGAGAGGGCTTTAATCTAATGAAAGCAATCTTACTAATTCACTTGATCTTGTTTGTTCAAGTTAAATAATCTGCACTACTCTTAAGCACCTTACAGAACCCTAGATTTATCCTTAAGAATAGAAAAGACCAGGGAAGATGGTACATTAGAGGAAGTATGTCACTTCCAGTTGAATTCTGTCTGTTGCTTCCATTAATACAGTTTCGTAGGAAACATTCACAGTGAGAGCCAGTTAAGTCCACTGATCAGCGGGCGACCTTGATTGAAATATTTACTCCATCATGGGCTCCCTGGATGACTTTGGGCGGATCCCGCTGCCTCAATTTCTCAATATGTAAAAAGGACTTTCAATGGCAGCTTTAGATGATAACGGGAGTAAAAAAATTTGCATATCAAAATAGACTGTTGAATTGATTAAGACTAATGTATTCCAATGTAATTTGTCTTCCTGCACTTCTGATGCATGCTTTGTTTACATTTAACTTTTTATCTCTTTTCCCTAACCTGCCCTTCCAGGCTTCTCGTTAGTGCATCACAGGATGGCAAGCTTATCATTTGGGACAGCTACACCACAAACAAGGTGAGAGCAATTAATAAGGTTCAATGACTTAATTCCAACTTGGCTAAGGGAGGAAAAGCAAACTACAGGAAGAACACTAATAAAACAAATCCTTCAGATTGTGTATTTTTGTTCGGCTTTTGTTTTATTCTGTGAAAGAAGGATCCCATGGAGGGGCGAATATAGACTAATTATAGACTAAAGTAATAGCTCAGGGTCCCGTCCACCCCCTCCCCCCTCTTTGAGAGATGAGAAGAGAGAAGCTAAGTAGCGGGTTTGTTTTCTTAGAGACATAAGCTGTGTGGGGCAAAGAAGCTTCTGTGGTTCTGGCCTTTATAGTGAAAACTGATGGGCATATTCAAGATAAGCCTTGGCATCCCAAGTGCAGTTGCATGTGACATGGATCTTGATTAGATTAACACCTTTAACAGTGGTTAAACACTAAGTGATTTTGCATTTAGTTATGTGGGTACTGAAAGGAGAAAGCAAGCACTGTAGTGATTTATGAACTGAAAAGTATAGCTAGGCAAGAACAGAAAGTTGGACTTAACCATGAAGTGATGTTCTCATCAGCAGGGAATGGAGCTGACAAATGGAAGAAGGCAAGGCCCAAACCACGGGGATGGGGTGGGATTGTTATGACCTTCCTGGAGATGAAAAGCATTCCAGTTACAGGAATTTACTTCAGCATAGAAATTGCTTATGAATTAAAAAAAGGAAAAGGAAATCATTAACAAAAAATAGTTGTCAACAATTTAATAGTAGTTAGAAAGAAAAAATAGAGGGACAGGAAGGAGAAATCCAACAGTGTACCTAAGAGTTAATGTGGGAAGTTGCATAGGTGAAATGCACAATGGATGGATCTGTCTGCTCTACACCCAGCTTCCCATTCTTGGGAGGTGGAGGAATAGACAGCAAAGAGGCTGTCTAATATGTCATTTCAAGAGCATGAACCCCAAAACAAAGAGAAATGAATAACTCTTTATAGCGCCTGTTGTGGGGCCCATATATGGAGGGGATAATTCAGCATGACCAAACTTGATGAGCTTTGAATGTCATTTGAGGATGGAGATTGACCTGTTGACCGCTTTGTGACTTTGGCCCAAGGCAGATGTGGTAGCCTTTCCGCGCCTGAAAAAAGGCTGTTACACCCATGTGTATCCACACCTGTGCATAATAAGTTAGCCAATGTGTTCCCTAACCCCTGTACTGATTATGCTTCTGGGGATTTCTTCCTTGCTCACCAATACTGGCAAATTGAGAGCCCAGGGTCCTGAGTAAGTCTAATGTAGATCTCGGGTGCTTGGCAAAAACTGTGTATATACTGTTCCTCATTCCTTGGTGAACACAATGAGGGTGGAATTGGTCTCCTGATACTGTCAGATTCACCTTTGGTTTTTTCTGGCATAGGGTGTGGCTGCAACCTTTGGACAGTGCTGACTTGGAGTGATCTCTGGGAATTCTTTTCAAGGAACAATACAAAGTCCACGTAACAGTGGATTTAACTATATTGGACTGGGGAATCACTGTCCCTACATTTAGCTTGACCTCATTGGCTGCTAAAGTGTAGGGAATAAAAATCTTGGCATCTAAGCTTGCATTTGTCACCAGGGGCAAAAACCTTAGTCAAATTCTATAAATGCAGAAACATACATTTTGATGAGGTGTGCATACCAGGAGTTCATTGGGTCAAAGGCTTGAGAACCTGAGCAATGGACATCCAATGCCACCTTAATGCCTAAGGATTAGGGGCTCATGAGATTTTAAGTAGAAAAAGCTTCACCTTTAGTTGTATCTACAACTTTTGGAACCAAAATGCCAGAAATTAGTGTAGCAACAGGGCCATTCACTAGGAAGACGCTACAAAATTCCCAATGGCTTGCATGAGGCAGTTCTTATTTAAGCTGTCACTATATAGAAGAGCTAACCAGCTCCTGCTGTTGCCCTTGCAAATGATAGAGCAACCACTTTGTCACTAGTAACCTCCCAAGGGTAAAAATGGTGGGGGAAACAGAAGAGGGCTTAGAGAACCTTGTTGCTCCCCCCCCACCTGTAGTTGCCCTGCTCTCTTGGCACCTGTGGGCAATAGTTAGCAGCAGATACCATTTTACGAATTTCTGGGGCACTGCAGAATGTCATGGAGTGATTAATTGCTCTGCAATAACTTACTACAGTCACTTACAGCAGATCAGAACCCCTATGTTTACAGTGAAAAGATAGGGGAGAAAAATTACCCTGTGGCTATGATTGTAATGAGGTAACTAATTTGCATTACAGTGTTACTTTTCACCACATTCCTGTTTCAGTGGGCAGGGAAGGGTGAGAAATGAACACTTGCCCCCCGCCATACAGTGGTACCTCAGGTTACAGACTCCGCTAACCCAGAAATAGTACCTCAGGTTAAGAACTTTGCTTCAGGATGAGAACCGAAATCGTGCTCCGGCAGCAGCGGGAGGCCCCATTAACTAAAGTGGTGCTTCAGGTTAAGAACAGTTTCAGGTTAAGAACGGACCTCCGGAACGAATTAAGTTCTTAACCCGAGGTACCACTGTATTCTATATTTGCTCATGCCATCCACAAGCTTCAAGACAGCATTATGAAAGTCAAGTGACTCTGCAGTTCCCCAGTATTTGTCCTCCCGTGTGATCAAGCATAATTGCATACCTCCAAGAAGATCAAACGTTCCGAGATGGGAAACTTACCAGAGTCCTGTTGTCAAATTACAGGCTATTGTCATATTTATCTCTCACCCCCTTGCTCCCCCTGCCCTGCCAAAAAAGGATAAGGAGACTTTTGTCAGTAAAGGGTATTAATCAAATCCAGGAAATTGGATGACAGTTCTGCAATAACCAGAATGTAGTTTTAGATTAGTATTTTTATAAGTCTTTGGCTAGATTACACATATGAAGTCATGTCTAAATATATCTCTAGCAACACTGCTGTAGCTAAGCAGTCTTGCACTTGTGCTGGATGTGATGGTGGTCCTAACAAAGAAGATGCCCGTAAAAAAAGTGCCCTCTTCCAGTGATGTGTTTATGAGCAACCACTTTGAGGCATTTCATTGGCTGTCAGGGAGGGGATATATTCTTTGGTGATTAAATAGCTGTATTTTTAGTAATGAAGCATCACACCTATTGCAGTGACGTGCTCAACCAACATGTGCTGGGTCTTGATTTTTTTCTTCTTTTAATCCCTAAAAGAGAAAATGTTAAAAAAAAAACTTCCAAGGGCATTATTTCATAGTAAATCTCAGGGGCACACAAATAAATGCAGCAGCCCTGGCTCATGGAGCTTATAAGCATGAAAGATGGGGAAGTTTTGATGAGAAAAGGTAGAATTAAGCCGAGTTGAAAAAGCTTAGAATTGAAATGCGGAAATGTTACCGTTGTTGAAAGCAAAAGAAATTTCAAATGCAGACTATGATAATATGTAGTTGGGGTTGGAAAAAAAGCACAGAAGCCTGGGCTTCTGAAAATGTGATATTGATGGCTGGGAATGGGAAATTTTCCAATAATGGATGCAGGCTCCAAAATAGGGCCTTGGCTAGACAATTTGAAACCTTCCTCAAATCCTCTTTGCAACCACCATGTGAACATAGGGCTTAGGACTCTGTGTCTTGTAAACTTAATCTACTGCATGTAGCTATTTCTTACAGCCAGGTTTCTGTCTAGTACTGTATACAAGAACACAAGAAGAGCCTGCTGGATCACACCAAAAACCCATGTAGGCCGACACCCTGTTCCCCACATTGGCCAACCAGACTCCTATGGGAAGCCCACAAGCAGGACATGATGGAAATAATCCTTTCCTGCTGTTGTTTCCCAACAATCTTTAGAGGTTCACTGCCTCTTGTATTGTTTTAAAAAGGGTTTTAAGGATGTTCTGCAAATGTTGGAAGGCAGTATACAAATTGACAAGTAATATTTATTCTGGAGCATGTAACCTTTTGCACAGTTCTAATTTTGTTTCAGTGGGGTTTCTGCAGGAGAATTTTCTGGTGGGTTATCCCCCCCCCCAAGTCAGATCTGTTTCTCTCCCACTACACTGCGTTTAGCAAAGGAAAATAAATCTACAGCCTGGGTTGGCCAGCTTTCTTTACCTCTTAATAATGGGCAAGGAACCTAACAAAATGGCAGCTTTACCCCCCTCTTTTCCCCCCCATTCTAGGTCCATGCTATTCCCCTGCGTTCATCCTGGGTAATGACTTGCGCATATGCTCCATCTGGAAACTATGTGGCCTGCGGTGGTCTTGATAACATTTGTTCCATTTACAACCTGAAAACACGTGAAGGCAATGTACGTGTAAGCCGTGAACTGGCTGGCCATACAGGTGAGTGTGTTTTTGCTTCAGTTAGCTCTACAACATGGGTAGGCAAACTAAGGCCCAGGAGTCAGATCTGGCCCAATCGCCTTCTAAATCCGGCTTGCGGATGGTCCAGGAATCAGTGTGTCTTTACATGAGTAGAATGTGTGCTTTTATTTAAAATTCATCTCTAGGTTATTGTGGGGCATAGGAATTGTTTCACATTTCCCCCCCCAAAATATAGTTCACCCCCCCCCAAAGGTCTGAGGGACGGTGGGCTGAAAAAGTTTGCTGACCCCTGCTCTACAACATGCCTTCAACATGTCTTTTTAAACAGTGTCTTCCCCCCCCCCCCGTGGCATCTCTTGAAAGACTGCCTTACATCTTGCTTGCACGTGACACATGGCTTTCACCAACCTAGTGATATTTATTTCTGCCACCTTCCCCCTCCTCACATTTTCACCTTAAAAAACAAAAGCACAAAGGCTAGGGGACAAATTTAGCAATAAATCCATAGTTTTACGGGCAGTTACGTTACTAAAAAGCATTAAAGGTTTCCCTTGTCTTCTGTAAATCATGTTGTCTAGACATTCCTCCCAAAACCGGTCTTTTAAAAAAAGCAAACATTGCCACATCCAACACTGTATAAACTAAGAATAATCTTTATGTAGCAAACATTATGATAGGTGCTTAAGCATTTTGTTTCCTTATTTTCCAGTACCATGGTCAGGTTCCTTTATTTAATAGATTAAAATCCTGATGTATTCTCTTCTAAAGACTGAGCATCTGTTTCACTTTGGTCAAAGTTCCAAATGTATTATTGGAACTTTGGTCAGGCTTTGGTTGGTCTGTGTGTGTGTTGCTCTATGCCCGTTTTTCCACTATGAGCTAAATGGTTTGTGTGCCAGCTAACTGGCATGACTACCTCCAGGGAATCCTGAGTGCTGTAATTCGTTGAGAGGTCCGAGAATTCTGTGTTGAAGATTCCTACTCCACCCTCAAACTACAGTTCCCAGGATTCCCTGGAAAGGGAATAATTGTGTAGCCGCTTCATGGTGTAGATGTTCATCTGGACAGCAGAGGGAGATAGCAAAAGAGCTAGTCTCTTAGATATGCCGAGTCCTCTGGTGTTGATGTGTTGCCTATGTGAACTTTGGAACTGATTGCAAGTTTCCTGCCTTTACTTAGACGCTGGTCTCCTTGATGTACTTTTATGCAAATGGGCACCATATGTAACATTCAGTAAAGCCCCCACAAAGTTTCAGTTTGCTCCTGAAATCAGTAGTAATACATCAGATGAGCTGCAGAAGAGAACTGGCTCAGGAGGAATTCCATCTTGCAAGGTTACAGATTCCTGCCCCTCCCCCCGCCACCTCTCCCAGAGCTATGTCACATTTTTACGCTGTCTTTTGTTTCTGTAAAAGAACAGAATCTCAAGGTGCGGCCAAGCGCAGAGGCCTCTTCCTCCAGAGGTTGCCAGCTTGGCTCCGGAAAAACCTTTAACAGTTCTTAAGAGGAAACCTCAGGCGGGCTCTGTGTCTTGCTGGCTTTCCACCGCTGCAAGGCTTTACTGATACTGGCTAAAGGGAGCTCTCTGAAAACTGCTCACAGAGGGGAACTAAGGTTACTCGGCAATGAATAGTTATTTATAATCCAGCAAAGCCAAAGTGTTCAGAACTCTCAATTTAATGTAATGAATAACAAATGCCGTATTCAAACTGGTGTTTGTGGTGCATTTCTTGCATCGTCTTTTAGCTGCTTCATAGGAACTCTGTGCTATGAGCAGTTAAAACTGATTCTTGACAGTTTTGATAACGCAGGCAAATCATGTTCACAAAAAAAGCTCTTCGTAGGAGGCAAAAGAGAAAAAGAGTGAACAGCTGTTCTGATGGGATTTTTGTTTTGTTTGATCAACCTTTTCTTTGAGCATGAGGAGAGGACACCTGATAGGCCTGTACTTCTGGTGAACTGCTGTTTGACACAGCGCTAGCTACTTTCAAAAGCGGCCGTAGCCTTTGCGTTCTGGAATTATGGTCTCTGCTGAATTGATCTGTCCATATAACTAGTTTATTACAAACCCAGTTCAAGGAGCTTGGGGTGAGGGCAAAGTGGCCAGTCATGATAGTAACAGCTATGGGACCAGGCCTCAGAAGTTGATGTGTTTAATCTGTGATTCTAAGAAGCAATACTGCGATGTAGAGCAGGAAAAAGTTCAGAAAAGAGAAACCAACATGATCAAGAGGCTGGAGCAACTCCTCTGTGAGAAAAGGTTATAACATAGTGGGGGCTTTTTAGCTTAGGAAAAAAAATAAAGTAAGGCAGGGCATGATAGAGGTGTGTAAAATTATGCATGGTGTGAGAAAAGCAAATGCACTTCTTCGCAGAGCATGTAATTTAAGCTATGAAATTCACTCCCGCTGGAGGCCATGGTGGCTGCTAACTTGAATTATTATGACAGAAGATTAGGCAAGTTCATGGAAGATAAGGCTATCAGTGAATGCGATCCAGGATGGTTATGTTCTATCTCAAGAGTTTGAGTCAGTCTGCTCCTGAATACCAGTTGCTGGAAATCGTAAGTGGCGAGAGTGCTGTAGTGCTCAGCTCCCTGCTTGTGGGCATCTGGTTGGCCACTGTCAGAAGTGTTGAATTAGTTGGGCCTTTGGCCCAATCCAGCAGGGCTTTTCTTATAATACTTTACTGTGTGAAAGCTTTTCCCGAAATACGTTTAAGATGTTTGGGGTCCCTTGGCCCTGGCCTACATCTTTGTCTTGCTGTTGGAGAAAAGAAAGTGGAAGTTAACAAAAACAATGGGTGTGAGATGCAAAAAGGAATTGTCCATATTTATTCACATTTCTTTCTTTTTAAATCCTTTTCCTGCTGCAGGTTACTTGTCATGTTGCCGTTTTGTGGATGATAATCAAATTGTTACCAGCTCTGGAGATACCACTTGGTAAGGAGCACACCAATAGTGTTACTGTAGAGATTGGCTTATATGCTAAACAAACTTAGGGAGTGCCTTTTCTCTAGTGTCTACTCCCTGCTTTGCTCGCTTTCGACTAGCAAGGAGATTTAATAAGCATTGATCTTTACCAGTCTGAGAACAGGACAGCTTAAGCATACCTTTCCTTCCTATGAATGCTATTCCTGTTTGCATGTGTGAATGTAGCATACATATTTAATGTTAGGATAAATTCAGAAAACTGAAGTTACAAAAAACACACAAGAAGAGTTTTGTAGACTAGACTCAATATTTTTACTGCTATAGCCTTGCAATCTTCACTGAGGTGGGTGCTCCAGCTGTAAATAAAACATATTTGTTTTGTTTGTGTGGGGGTTGTGTTCCAGGACATTGAGTGTGACGACAGAGCACGCATAAGCCTGCCCATGCTCCCATTTCCTGCCACTTCTGGGTTCGTGGCGATGCGGGAGTGCACAGTTGCACATGCCTTGAACGTGCACAAAATGGTCACTACCTGTATGCAGTTGCTTAGGGCTCTTAATTCCTTTGAGAAAGAGAGCTCTAACTGCAAAGAAAATTAGTCTCCCATCTGGAAAAAGTCTACTTGCCTGTGTGTTAAGAATGTTTTCATTGGATCTTCAAAACACGCTGGTATCTAAGGTGGCAGATTCACTGTTTTATTTTTTATTGTAAACTTCCCACAGATCTTCATGTTACCCCTCTGTCTGTTATATGTTCATCTGAGAGTGTAATTCCTAGTATAGTTATGCACCCTGAAGCACCTCTCCCCCCCCCCCGGATTTTTTTTTTAATGGAAGAGCACTCCTGTCATGTGTGTCCTCACCTTTAATCTGCCCATATGAATGCCTACTACCTCAGTGCAAGCAAGGCCAAAGTGAACCACTATTTTAGACAAACCACAGTGTCTCGGCCTTATTTTCCCTAGTGTTATTTCCTAGTATTGCTTTTCTTTTCCTTCCCTAGATTTCTGTTACTGAGTTAATAATATGTAAACAAACAATTGGAAGCACTATATAAATGCTTGCTTGTTTTACTATGATGGTCACCCTTTTCATTTTGGATTCTCCTTAAACCTTTTCTCCGCCAGCGCCCTTTGGGACATAGAAACAGGCCAGCAAACAACCACATTTACTGGTCATACCGGAGATGTCATGAGCCTGTCCCTCGCTCCTGATTCCAAATGTTTTGTTTCTGGTGCCTGTGATGCCTCTGCAAAGCTGTGGGATGTCCGAGAAGGGATGTGCCGGCAAACCTTCACTGGGCATGAATCAGACATCAATGCCATCTGTGTACGTAAGAACTTTATGGAGAGGAGATGGGATTTTGACAGTGTGTCTGTCTTCATGCATAGCAGGTGGCTGGCAGTTACTATGGACATCTTCTTAGTAAACTGTCTTTTTAATTAACTTGTAAAATACTATTCCAAAATTGATCATAAAAACAATTATTTTATTCCATGAGCGGTATCCAGCTAATTTCCACTTGCCCAGCAGAACATCACCCCCTTGCTTGCTCTCCCTGTGCATGCCCTGTGTCCTCCCCACATTTGCTCCAAAGGTTTTGGGGAACCCCTAGAAGAGAAATAGCAGGGAGGAGAGTGGGGAAGTTCTATTGCACAAGTGGAAATCCTTGCATTGACAGAATGCATTACTATCCAGCTGTGCTGGATACAACCCCATATTTCCATATGAAAAATGAACACATCCTTCTTGTTATTACAGTAAATTGCTCCTATAAATAACTCAACCCAAATATTTACATATATCTGCCCATTATTCTGGTATTGGAAAATCACGAGATCTTCTTGATGGAACTTGAAACAGCTTCCCAGCTGTTGTTGAAGCCTCTTCCAGATCATCTTTCCTGTGTGTTACATCTTTGTTTCTCTTTTTTCTCTCAAGTTCTTCCCAAATGGCAATGCATTTGCCACGGGCTCTGATGATGCTACATGCCGGCTCTTTGATCTCCGTGCTGACCAAGAGCTGATGGTTTATTCCCACGACAACATAATTTGTGGCATCACCTCTGTAGCTTTCTCCAAGAGCGGCCGTCTCCTCCTAGCTGGCTATGATGACTTCAACTGCAATGTGTGGGACACACTCAAAGCTGACAGAGCAGGTAATGCTTCTAGTGTCTCTTGGACTAAAAATAGGGACTGGGGAAAGAAATGTGCGTGGTTATGGAACAAGCAGGGTGCTTGAACAAAAGAGGGTGAAGTAAGCAACAAGATGGAGAAGAAAGAATAGAGAACTGAGGCAGTGCTCAGTTGTTGAGTGGAAGTGGGGGGAATCAAATCCATGATCCCCAACTTCGGACACTTGCCTATTATTATTATTATTATTATTATTATTATTATAACTAACATTCACCCTGAGCAGGTCACACCATTATGACACAATGTGGTAATTATGAAACGCAGTGGTAAAAATAACCTGAAGCCAAGCCACACAATCAGCAAAAGAATATGGTTCAAATCTTGCTGAACCACATCACATCAGATGGTAGCTGTGGGAATCCATATAATACTTACTCAACCTGTCGATTCTGGGCAGGTAATGATCCAAATAAGATACAGAAATAGCCTAGATTCTACAAAACAGACACCTGAAGCCCATATTGACTGCTGATCACTAATTGCTTTGATGTTGTATTTCTAAAAGCTTTACGTTCCTTTCAAATGCAGCACTTGGGATTGAATATATAAATTCCCATGCAAGGGCTTCAGTTGCATAATCGATCATTTTCAAACATTTTGGTAACTTGTGTGGTAGGAGAGGGCAAGGAAAGAAGAAATCAGAAAGTGAGTGCGGGGGAATAAGCACACACTTTGGACCTCAGAGAGTGAAAGGATGAGTGTGTGTGCTCGCGTGCATGTTCCATATTGCGGCTAACAAAATCGAAGTGGTCCACCATTGCTCCAAAGAACTAGCACCTGTGCAATATTAATGTTTTGACATTACCTTATGATTATTCTTATGAAGAATTGTCTGTTCTGTTGCATAGAAATACTTAACTGTTTAGAATTCACGCTGTGAGTTGTTTGTTTGTTTGTTTGTAAGGTACCTGTAACTCAGTTAATGATTTGTAGCTGCTGATTTTTATGAACTTAAAATCTTGCGCTCAGCAAAATGCTCCCTCTCTTAATAGAATTTATTTTATGTTCCTGCCCTTAAACATTGTTTCCAGAGCTTCCACTGTTCATGTACCTTAACTTGACACTTTCTCTCCCCCCCCCACCCTTTTTGGTATTTACTAATTATAATGGTGGGGGATCTGTCATGTAGTCCTAGAAACCACACCCTCCCACAACAGAGGAGCCAGTACTTGTCTGCTTTATATTACTGTTCCAAGAAGAGAAGAAATGTGGAAGAACATGGCAATTTCTTTAAAAGAAAGCTGCCTCTTTACTATGCTACATCGTAACAGAGCAGCCCTTCCAGCAGCTGGTCCTTGCTAGCTCTTTAGTTTCTTGAGTGAGCATACTTTGTCCTCAGTCATAAGCACCCTGTTCATTTTGACAATTATCTGCACCAAAATAGCCCCCTGCCATTTGGACCTGGTTTCTGTGTGGCAGCATGCACAGTGGAACCTCTGTTTGCGACCATAATCCGTTCCGGAGGTCCGTCCGGAGGTCAAAACAGGTTGCTGGGAGAGGCACCGTTGTGCGCAGGCACGAACGGTGATTGCCCACTTCTGCGCATGCGTGAATGGCGATCGCCGCTTCTGCGCATGCGCAAATGGCAGCAAACCCGCGGTTACTTCTGGGTTTGCCGCAGTCGCGACTTGGAATGACCATAAGAAGAGGCGGTGGTAAGTAGAGGTTTGACTGTATTCTCCAACATGCCATTGGTCTCCAGGCTTTGGCTATCTCTCATAATGTGTAGGATTCTGGTGCCTGAGGCTTAGATGCTGCTGACTCAGACTTCCTTGAGGTTTCTGTAGCTGCCCTTTTATGCCTTGTGCAGACAGCTTCACTCTTTGGCTTTTTAGTGTGACAACCGGCTTGGAACCATGATGGGCTGCAATTTGTTTCTACTCGCTTACTTTAACTGAAGGCTCTAGAACATCTCTGATTGAGATCCTGTGTAGAAGAGTTTCTCTGCGAATGTCATAGTATGGGCAGCCCTTGATGTGCAAGGAGATATGCTTGTCCAAAGCTTTCTCCTTTCACTCAGTTTAGCAGAGAGGTTTGTACATCTGGGGCATTGCCATGTGCATAAAGAACCTCCAGATTGGAACAGCTGAGTAAACCTGTTGAAAAGGGAGCGCTTGTACATCACTGTCATTGAAAGTTGCTTTCTCCCAATTACCAAAGAACAACTTAAATCCTGGGAGCCAAGTAACAGGCTCCACTTACACTTTTTTATTTGTTTGCATATTTCTCTTGACGTTGGAGCATGCAGAATCTGAAACTCTTTTGCTTTTGTTTCTCTGTTCAATTTCTAGGCGTCCTAGCTGGCCATGATAACCGTGTCAGTTGCTTAGGTGTAACTGATGATGGCATGGCGGTGGCAACAGGATCGTGGGATAGCTTCCTCAAGATCTGGAACTAAAGTCTGTAGGTACCTTAAAAAAAAAAGATGGGGGGGGTCCAACATGCTCTCTCCCTACCCCACCCCTTTCTCTCACACACTGAGGCTGACTCCTCTTTCTAGGCTTCTATGATTGGGATGCGTTGTTCAAGAAGTGTAAAGTGCTCATTGGCTTATAAAGCTTGATGGCTCCAGGATGCCAGTTGTTGGCTAACCACAGTGGGAGAGTGCTGTTACCCTCTTCTCCTGCTTCTGAGCTACCCAATAGCATCTGGTTGGCCTTTGTGGGAAAGAGAATGCTGGACTACCTAGGTCTTTGGTGTGATCCAGCAGGACTCTTACATGTAGACATTCCAGGGTGTTCACATTGAAATATCTCCCCCCCCCCCACTCTTCTCACACCCAGGCAGGTGTGGGAGCTGTGTGTAGAAGCAGCCTAGTGTTCATAAAATGATTTAATCCACAGTACCTAATACAGATTAAATGTCCTTGTTAATGTAAATCCGGGCCTCTTTTAACTTGCTGAGTTGATGCTTGAGAGAATTCCAAGTAGTGTGTAAATAAATGTGTTGTATTGTTACATAGCTGTGAAACTAGCTTTTGATAGGAAATGAATAGGGTAATAGATTTAATACCTGGGGACAAAATGTTAAGTATAAATGCAAGGTCCAGGTTGGTTTTAAAATAATTTGGAAGAGAGGGAAAGGATTAGCATTAGAAGTTACTGATGATGATCATTAACAAAACCTTTTGTATGTGTTCTGTGTCAGAATAGCAGTGGACTCCACGCTGACTGGAAGACTTTTCCAACGGTTGAAAATTTAAAATAATGTATCCAATCCAACCATACTAACTTGGACACCCCCCTTTGCCTCCCCCCTCCCATCTTACCCAGCCACCAAAGGGCAAGATCTTTCACGTCTCCTACTGCTGAAATGAAGAGCACAATTATCTCTAAAAGAAGAATTTCTGTGGTTATATACAAAATAGAAAAAGAAGTAAAATTGTGCATTCCTTTTGGGACCACCTTTCGTCTAGAAAACTAAAGGAAACAAACACACTTTGTTTAAGCATGTCCAGACAAAAAAAGAGAAAAAAAATCATTGTGAAGCAGACAACTTTTAACATTCACTGTAGTTTAAAGATTGCAAACCATTGATTTGGTTTTACTGACTTTATGAGTTGGGGGTGGGAGGGCCTTGTTTTATCTCACTTTCAAACTTTGAAGTCGTGTTTGTAGCAGGGTTGATATCTACTTTTTGTTCATATTTCCATTTCCTTTTTTTTCTCCCTCCTTTCGTGCAATTTGATTTTATGGTCAATTGTTGAGCCAAGCCAAGACAAGGGAGTCCAAACCCAGATACATCTGGGATTGTTAATGCTGTAAATTTAGTCCCTGAAGTCTTTTTATTATTATTATTATTTCTGTCTTAGTGTCACAAATTGTTGCACAAATACTGCATATATAGGATAATGTTAAGATAACCAAGCACACGCTGTACATGGTATTGAATGTTTTTTTTAAAAATCACCTTTTATGGGTAACAAAATGCAAACTCTAGTTTTTTCCACCCCACCTCACATGTTATTACTCTCTTATTTTGGCATAGTATGGATTTCTTATGCCCACTTGGAGGGTGCTTCATAGCCTAACACTACCCCATAATCTCAATAAACAAACAAGATTCTGTGGATTTGGGCTTTTTCTGGGGGGTGGGAGGTGTTGAAAAGATAAACCTGTTCAGCGCTTGGCTATTCCATCAATTCTTTGTGTATGAAACAATGTACAAATTAATGTTTTTGGAAATAATGATCTTAAAAAAAAACTTTCTAAGTTAAACAAGAACAATGGAAAGAGAGAAAATTTGTTTTGGTTTGCCATATTGGGTTGGATTACTCTTTAGAATCGCATGCTGTAGAAATGCTCAAGTGCATATGAGACTAATGTGTCCTTATGTGTTTTCTTTCAAGAAATAACCTGTTTTTTGTTTTGTTTTTTAATTTGGAAACAAAAAGCTGTAACCATTGCTGATCTCCTCATTTATTGTTGCTACTCTGTGCATTAAAACAAAAGGATGGAAAGTACTGAGCTATGCACATTCTGGAGTAGTGTGATAGATAAATCACTATTCTTAATTTGAAAGGAAAAGGAAAAAAAAACCCCAACCACTTACTTTAAACAATCACTGTAGATTTGATTCTAGGGTGGGGAAGGGAGAGGAATAACATGCTTTTAAATTCCTAACAGCCTGTTGACTTTAGTCAAAGGAGCCCTTTTTATCAGGTTAGATTTTCCTTTCCCCTAACAAGCAACCATTCCTGGCTTTGTGTTTTGAAAATGAAAGAAAAATACAAAAAAAAAAAAAACCCTAAACAGCGCTTTGGGCAGCAAATTACTCTGTCTAACGTTGTTCCTCTCTTTTTCACTGTACTGGAATTCTCCCCCCACCCCTTTGCTACAGCAATGGCTATTATCCATTTTGGGGTGTGTCTCTTCCTCTCCCCACCCTCCCTCTGGCAACACTCTGTACAAAATGTGCTGTAATTGTGCGTTTTTAGGCCTGGATTTGGCATTTCAAAAAACAAGAAAAAATGAAGAAAAAAACCCCTCTTCTTCCCCTGCGCCCTCCCCCCTTTATGGAACTATTCTCAGTAGAGCTTTCTCCACACCCTTTTATCCTTCACCTTTTGTATTTAATTTTAAAGTCAGTGTACTTCAAGAAAGCTGGATGCAAGATAGATACTATATTAAAATGTACTGTTATTTAAGATGTAATAAAGCAGTTTGACATGAGTTGTCTTGGGCCGCTTGTTTTTCTCTCCCAAGTTGGAACAGAGATCATAATGGTTCCAAAATGGCAGCCAACCTTATTGTACATTGCCCTCAACGCTTACAAGCAGGAGTCAAAACTGCAGCTTTAAATTAACTAAGAAATCCCCATATCCGGAGTTGGGATGGAATATTCCTGAGGTCATATGAACTGTTGACCTAAAGTGGAGTGTGAGGATGTGGTAGCTTGGTCTTCTAGAACATGGTTTATTGCCTAGAGCATTGTCATCCCTCTGCTTCAGAAGGGAAGGGGTTGGGGTAATGCTGTTTGCTTAGAGTATGTCTTTTGGATCCCCTCCAACCTCAGTTTTATCAATTTATACGCAATATCTATGCCTGTTACCCGCCTTATGCCCTTGTCGTTAACTTAATATTAATGATACTCTCTCAACCCCCTCCAAAAAATCCCCACAACTTACTACAACAGTAAGACCTGCAATAAATCCAGCATAAAGACAAAATAGAAAAATGTAAACTCACCCCAGAGATGCACTCCATTGTCTCCTGAGGCAGATGGATGCAGACAAAAAAGAGGCCTGAAACGTCCCACCAACTGAAGAAAGCCACAGATAATTAAAAGCCCAAGGTCTGGCTGAAATGAAATGTGTTTGCCTGGCACCTAATGATGGTATCAGGAGAGCCTCCCTGGGGTGATATTTCCACCAGTGGGGAGCCACCTCTGAAAAGGCCTGTTCTCGTGTTGCTACCCTCTGGACCTCTCCTGGAAGGGGCACACAGAAAAGGGCCTCAGATGACAAACGTAGGGCCCGCATCGGTTCATATGGGAAGAGGCATCCCTTGAGGTATTGGTGTCTTGAACTGCTTAAGGCTTTATTGGTCAAAACTGGCACTTTGGAATTGGGTCTGGAAATTAGCTGGTAGCCAGTGCGGTCAGGCTATGGTGGGGGTTATGTGCTCAGACCATCTTGCTCCTGTGAGCAACCTAGCTGCACCACCACCTGTAAACCACTAAGTAGGAATGGAACCGTCACTAGCCAGTCTTTTGTAGATATGGCCTGGATTCTTGGGTTTTTTTACAGGACTTTTACCTGCTTTTACCCTGAAATGACTCCCAGAGTGCCCCAGTAGTAGTATTTTCTTTTAAGGTGGGGAACCTCAGGTACAGGCCACACCCCTTCCCCAAGGCCACACCCCTCACCAGCTCTACTTTGCATCCTTTAATGTTAATGCCTGGCTGGAGTGTGCCTCCGATCTTTGACAATGCCTCTTGCTTGCCTGGATAGAGGAGAGAGAAGGGTATGTACAGAAACTGGCCTACTGTACGAAAGGTAACACTTAAAATGATTGATCCACACACCACTGGCACCTGGCCCGTCTAAAAGATTTCCCAGGCAATAATGCAGCCCTCTGAGACTTAGGGTTGTATCCAGTGTTAAGCCTACTCTAATGTAGACCCATCAATATTAGCAGCTAAGTTAGTCATGGCCATTCATTTCATTGGGTCTAATTTGATTAGGATTAAAGGTAGGCTCCGACCCTTAAATTCAGGTTGGCTAGAAATGTGCACACATTTCACCTTGCGTGTTGAAGAAAGCAGAAATCCCTTTTATAAAAAATTAATTGTGTTGAGAAGGGGTGTTGAGCCTTAAAAACACCGAATGTGGTGGAGCTCTTGGTGGTGGTAACGGTGCCCAATGGTTTCAAAACAAAAGCGCCGCTTCTTCCCTTAATTATTCATCAGTCATTTGCTTTAGATTAGTGCTGCCTGACACGGCTGACCCTCGAAGGCGATTACCTGGGGAGCTGGAAGTGGAGAGCAAAGAATCTGTTTAATGCAACAAATCTGTAAATGGCACCATCTGCTCTGGCTGCCCCTTAGAAAATGATGGGTTTTCAACCCTCCCACGGGTCCACAGCCTCCACTTTCCCCTCCACAAACTGCATTTCAGTGTCAGAAGATGTTAAGAACGGCTCTTTAGGAATAGCAATTTGAATCTGCCTGATGTGGGGAGGGGACATGGTTTGGTGTTGGGGCACCTGATTTTCCCACAGAAGGCTTTAAATCTAACTCTTGGCAACCAAAGACAAAAATGGCCCATCTCTGCTTGGGAATCTTAAGAGATACAGTGAGGGTAGAAAACTATGGGCTAATGGTCCTCTGCTCCTCTAAGAGAAGGGAGCATAGCTCAATTGCCACCCCTCCATGCCGATGGTCCAATGTTCAATCCTTGGCATCTATAATTGAACGGGAGATGAGAAGATCCATTTAGGCAAATGGGACACTGCCAACCCCACCCAGTTCCTGCCTGCCTCCCTCCCTTTCTTAAAACCAGCCTGGGCAGTGGATTCCACTACTGCCTTAGTCTCTTGAGTTCCCCTTGCAGAACTCAGCAGGGAGAGGATGGGGACTAAACTAAAATGCATTGGCTTTGTCATTGTGTCTGGCTCCCACCCCCTATTTCTGCGGCTCCTTGCCTTCCACTCTAACCAGCCCAAATAGGCAATAGGCAGCACTGCCTCAAGTCGACAGTTCTACCGGGCCAGAAAAACACATTTGTAACCCAGCCCCTGTAACCTACGAAGAAGAGCGTACATCAAATCATCTTAACAAGGAAGCTGTCAAAAGGCAAATGTGCTACTACGTACCGGGCTTTCGATTCCAGCGATCTATCAAGAATTTAAAATGTTACAAATTTAGTTGCTATTTTCCAGTTGGTTGGCTTCCTCCCCAGCCCCCAGCCTGCAGAGAAATCAATCCTTCTGGAAACCAATTAAAGCACCATAGTGAACTTGGAGACAAGTTCGAATAAGAAAACACGTAACTCCATGTTAAAGAGGGATGACTCAGACTAGCAAAACGCCAGTCACACGCAGCACCTCCCCCCTCCCTCTTCTTGCCCTCTTGAATGTTTTGCTGCTGAGTTTTGGGTTTTGATTTCCCATGAGAGACAACAAGCAACCTCCTGAAAAGACCTCACGAGAAGCTGCAGAGGTTGGATTGAGCATCCTGCTCCTTGAAGTATCTCCCGGAGACCTACTTTATTAATACCAGACTGGGCAAAGGAAAGGGCATCTGAAAGGTATGGTCAATGCGGGTTGTGTGATGAACGTTCAGGGTTGCATCGAACTAACTTGGGGCTGCAGCTCAGTGGTGGGGCATCTGCTTTTCATGCAGGAAAACCCCAGGTTTCAAACCTGGGAACGTTCCCTGTCTAAAACCCTGGAATATTGCCACCAGTCAGTGTACACAATGCTGTGCTAGATGCCCTAATGACTCAGTACATTGGCAGCTTCTTCTGTTCCTAACTTCTGCTTACAGTAGTAGACCCACTGAAATCAATGGACATAAGTTAGCTATGCCCATTAATTTCAATGTGCTTGTTTTGAGTACAACTAGCATTAGAAACAACCCTCGCTGCTTAACTGTGTTTTTATTTCTTCTGGTTTGTTTCCTGAAAGTTGAGGAAAGAAAACTTTTTTTAAAAAAACACTCTGTAAAAGCTCCGTTAATAAGCCTGTTAGTTACCCAGTGGGGAGCCTGATTCCAGTAGTTGGAACTTAAGCAGACAACACAGTCCCTGCAACTATAATAGCTTTATGTGCGTTGCAGGTTTGTTAAAATAGTGCATGGCTGTACCTCAAAGGCAGAACTTTTGCTTTGTACACAGAAGGTCTCGGGTTCAATCCCTGGCATCTCCAGGTAGGGCTGGCAAAGGCTTAATGTCTGTAATCCTAGAGAGCTGAAAAAGGAAGGAGTGGCTGGCATCTGGGCAAGCGGGTTTGGAGATGGCACAAACCATATAGAGGCTGGACTCCGCTGCAAAGATGCTTAATTAAACCTGAGAAGGCAAGACGGAGCCAGACTTTGCTCCTTTTTGAGTGGGATGGAGAGGATTCTCCCAGGGGCAGCTACCAGCCACTGCTTGGGCGCAAGCTGAGGTTTCCAGCTCCGTCAGAACCAATGGGCATCAAAAGCATTGCTGGCAGCTGCTCTCGATACATTATTTAGGGTCTCTCTTGTGCTTGAATGGCTAGGCAGCCCCGACTCCTAAACAGGAGTTAAAAGGTCAGGTCATTTCTCCTGGGGGACGGGGAGGAATAGTGTTGGCCTGGTTTTTGCCTCACACTTGGGGGGGGGGATGATGCTTCCACAGCACTTTACAAAGCTGAAGCAGGGAAGTCTCTGCCCACAGGTTGCTGGCACTGAGCAAGATACACGGCACAATCCTGCACATTTTCTGTATGCTGAGATAGGTCATAGATGTACAAGCAGGGCCTGCCTGCAGTGTGGAGTATTCCTGTTCAGCATGCCAGCCAGCTAGCCATGCCCCTCTTCCAGGACACTCCATTACATTTTCCTCTCCCTAGTTTCCTATCATTGACACACCCTAAACAAATGTTCAGCATGTCACGGTCACTAAGCGTTCTCAGCTGACTGCTTTGGGTTGTATATTCGTTTCCTCCCCTCTTTGGTCCTTTCCTTATTTTCTCCTTGCCTACTTTTGCAAACCTTGGGGTTCCCCCGAGCAGTGAACCCCCCCTCGTTTTTTACTAGTCCCATTTTGGTGACATAACTATCGTAATTCAATACCCCCCATTTGCCATTTTGATGGTGCTGATTATATTGATGAAATATTAATAATGCATCGGTCTGCTGAATTGTTTAATACTGATACTGATTATTTAGTATTACGTGGTCTTACAAGCTTGTTTTGAATAGTTTTTGAATTGTGATTTGTGGCGTCCACTAAATTGCTGTGCATTGAATTTCTGCATTGGTGCTATTTTGCACCTTAAGAAAATGGAAACCTTAAGAAAATGAAAACTGCTTTGAGCATTTTACACAGACACAGATAAAAAAAAAGAAAGAGAGAGAGAGACTCCGATGAACCCCTTCTGCAGAAACCACCTTCTTGACTGTTGGACCCACCACAGTTATACCTCTTGTTGTGTTTGCTTCACGTTGTGGCGTTTCGGGTTGCGAACGCGGCAAACCCGGAAGT